AGTGAGTCAGTGAGTGAGGGAGCGAGCGAGCGAGTGAGCGAGCAAGTGAAAAACTAAAAACTCTAATATCAGGTTCAGAATAGGGTGTTAACTAGTTACATTCACTTGAGTAACATTTTAAAAAAAAGGTACTTTAGTAGTTTTTTAGTAGTTTGCTGTAATTCTTAATTCTTAGCTACTCTTACTTCAGTACATCTCTGGGTACTCCATCCTCCTCTGATCAAGTAGTAAAACAATGAATGGATTAAGGATATAGTTTTGACTGTAAATAAGTGTTTTTCATTTTAATGTGGCTAAAAACTGAATTTCTTCCCACAGTTAAGCTGGATCTTTTTTGGGTGGCTCACCAGATTCATTTTAGAACAGTTTTTAATTAACTGGGTTTCATTGTGAGCTTTTCAACTTGTCCTCTTTCATTTCCTAAAGAAACACAGCAGACATTCAGTCTGTTTTTCTCAATAAATAATTTTAAATCCTGCATTTTACTTTGCTGGAGTTCTGAACCTCTATTGTTTTCCCTTCATTTCTGAGGACAGAGCAGATATTTCAGGTGGGAAGCAGATGTAGCCTGCAGTGATTGGCAGGAAAACATGGCTGAGGGCAAAGACCAGTGAGAGCTGTTGCTTTTGGATGAGAAGAAACACAGCATGCAGTATAAAATACCTCTTATATACGCAAACTTTTTAAACAAAACACATTTAAGGGTTTTAGAGGTTCTACAAAGTCAGTTTTATGTCACGACCTTATCCTTGTGTATGAACAGGTGGCTTGCATTTACATAGTATAGTGTTACCAGTGATGCAAATGTAAACAGAAGAATCTCTACACTCCTACTAAATGCACCAATATCAACTGTGTCAAAACAGGCTTCATCCACAAACAGGCAACTTCAACTGTCTTGTTTTTGGAAACATTCAGGTCATTGAGCTGACTGGACTCCTGAAATTAGGACCTAGATAGAAACAGGCTTACTTCCCAAGTCAGATCAGTTATTAGAGGTACACTGATATTTCACCTTACAACCAAACCATAAAATATTTTGTAAATCACTCTAAATACTTACGGAATGACTTTAATGTCCTCTTTACCGTGGAGGATGTAGTCAATCACTTTGTAGAAGATAATTTCCTGAAAGAGAAATCAAATATTCACTTGGTTAACACACAGATCACCAGTGGCGGGCGCTGCATGTGATGCCTAGGCCTTGGTGGGCACCACTCAACTTAATCTACTTCTTATGCCTTGACGTCTATATATATATTTAATATATTGGTTTTATATATATATAACCAATATATTTAATATATATAGCAGATATTACTGAGAGGAAGATTAGTGTGAGGGTGAATAAGAGGTTAATTAAGCAAGAAGCCCATTTAGGGCAACCACAATCCTCTATGCTATAACCACAGCTCCGCAACATTTACATCCTCAGTAGCTGTTGAGATTCAGTATGCATCTAATTACCAAATAAAATACCGCATAAAGCATGAGACTAAAATATATCTCTCTCACCAGAAATCCTGATTATTTATAAAAAAAATCTTTATGCAGGAAGTCTTTGTTTCTCCATTAGTAACAGCCATTGAGGCCAGAAATACTTTTTAACAAAAGCAGATCCAAAATGCAGATTGTCATTAGCTTAATTTGCTCTAGCTGACCAATCAGAGGACAGAAGATGCTGACGTAGGGGTAGGCCCGCTTGCAGGCCCAGTGGGGCAAATATGAAATCTGTTTGTTACGGTTAGATCAGCCAGCACTGCTGATTCTGAAGGCTCTGGGCAGATTTGATTGACATAGCAGCACTCTATGGCTGAAATCTGATTGGACAAAAAATATAGCAACCACATAAAGGGAAAAAAACAAAGCAACCAAAGAAAAACAATACAAAATGAAGAGAATGGATTGTTTGGAAAACATTAATTCAGTTGGAAAGAACAAAATGAAAGTTTAGGGTGTGAATGTTGGTTAGTGTTTCTGATTGATTTTAGACCAGCAGTGAAGGCTTTGAAAGCCCTCACTGCCCACTACTGCTATTTACACACAATAGCTGCATGCAAAGTATCTAATCATGCAGCTGAGGAGTAGAAACGGGCATTTCCTGAGGCAGCTGAGAAAAACAGACCCTGAACTGAACTAGAAGGAAGTTTTCTTCATCTATGTTAACCACAAGTCTGATCAGCTGCTGCTCAGATAAATGGCTTTGTTTGTTTCACACACTTTGCTGCTTTTTTTTTTTTAGATTTTGTATAAAAACAACTTAAATTTGGACTTCGATTTTTCTCCTTTCAGTGGATGTGTTAAAAGGCCACACTATCTGCCATGTACTGGATTAAACAACAGTAACAGGAGCTCCCATTCAGGCAAAAGAACATTAATTGACTAAAGGTTCCTAAACATTTCAGCGTGTGACCCCCCCCAAAAAAGTATTACAGAATGTAGACCTCTAAAAGTACATTTTACTCTATAATCATCTAAAAATAAAGAGGAAAGTATTCTTATTTATTTCTAACCACATTCAAATTTTTTAACATTTGATTATTTAATTAATTATTAAAAATGTATTTTTGATTACCTAACTGGGAATTTAATTATTTAACTGTAAAATTTATAATTGAATAGCATAGTTAATATTTGAATAATCCAAATCTTGGCTTCCCATACATTTTAGCTTGTGTTCCCAAAATAATATTGCAACAGACTGCCAACTATCTAAAAAATACATAGAATTACTTCTAAAAATATGAAGTAAAGTAATAAATAACATTTTACATAATGTTTTTATGACATTTGATTATTTAATTCATTATTAAAAATGCATTTTTGAACACTTAAGCAGGTATTCAGTTATTTAACCATAAACTTTATAACTGAATACCACATTTAATATTTGAATCATGTAATTCAGGGATTCCCAAACATTTTAGGCTGGGACTCCAACAATGACAATGCTACAGAATGCTAACTATCTAAAAATACATAGAATTATTTATAAAATAAATAAAGTAATTCAATAGAATTTTAAATTACTGGTTTTTGTGACATTTATTATCATTTTAAATGTATTTGTCAATAATTCAATGTTACATTTAAATTTTTCAAAGTATATTTATTTTATTTTTATGGGAAATAGGTATATATTTCCTGATATATTTTTGCCCTACATATATTTCAGATCTCACATCACCGTGATTGTAAAACTGTCTTAGGACCCCCTATTTGGTGTCTTGTGAACCCCCCATGTGGTCCTGACCTCCTCTTTGGGAACCCCAGATGTTTTAGATAATACTTATTGTATTGTGTGTATTTCAATATTTTCTTTGGCCCTCCCTTTACCCAGAACCAGAACTTTGTGGACTTGTGTCAGCAGAACCAAACCACAAAGAACTGATTAATGCAGGGCAAACCAAGGAGCTAGTGGTGGACTTTCGCAGAAGCAGATCCACCCGGCTGACACCGGTGAACATCCAGGGAACGGACATTGAGATAGTGAACTCTTATATGTACCTAGGTGTTCATCTTAATAACAAACTGGACTGGACACACAATACTGAGGCTCTGTATAAGAAAGGTCAGACTCTTCCTGCTGAGGAGACTGAGGTCTTTTGGAATGCAGGGGGCACTCCAAAAGACCTTCTATGACTCTGCTGTGCCATTGGGCATATTCTATGGAGCTGTCTGTTGGAGAAGTGGCTTATCAGGAAGGTCAGCTCTGTGATTGGATGCCCTCTGGATTCAGCGCAGGACGTGGGAAATGGATAAAGTCTCCCACCTCATGCATGAAGCTGTCGCAAAACTGGAGAGCTCCTTCAGTGACAGACTGCTGCACCCTAAATGCACCAGGGAGCGTTATCACAGATCCTTCCTCCCAGCAGCTGGAAGACTCTATAACCACCACTGTTCCCAACAACCTCAATAAGTTGTTACATTCATGGTGATTTTGCACAGTTTCTACCTTAGTCAGTTAAATAACATGCTGCTGATATTTTGCACATCTCTGATGTTGCTGCTATTTTCAAAAATATCCATTACTGTAAAAATGTCTATAGCTGGATATTGGTTATTTTATTCTCCAGGTGCACAGTTTTGTATTGTTAAAACACTTTATAGTACAGTATTTTATCATATATCTTTTAACTCTTCACTAGTATATTATTATTATACATTTTTCCAAGGTCCATTTTTTGCTATGAACACCAGAATTTCTCCATTTCGGGACAATAAATGGATTTTTTATTCTATCCTATTCTGTTACCTTAGGAATCACATTGTGAAAACCAAAACCTTTGACAGATCTTGATCTGATGATGGCAAAAGTTGTCAAATAAAAGGCCTAGATAAAGGGAAATTATTTGTAGCTGCTATGGTTCATCCTTACCCTGCCATCAGGAGTCTTGGGTCCATCGTATGGTGGAGCTTCTCCCATCAATATGGGCCACATGTCAAAGAACTCCTACAGGTAAAAAAAAAACACACAACAATGAATGGGATTTAAAGATGAGAAAACAGCTGCCTCAGTTGTTTATTTATTGTTTAAAATGAAAATAAAGTTAAACTCAAGTGTAGTTTTAAGTACATTTTATCTCTCTCTATATATAGATTATGATCTGAGAATGGCAGGTTTTCTATTGAAGCCCTTAAAGATGTGTTTCTGTTTTTGTTCATTTTTGTTTTATTAATGGTTTTCCAGCAGCGACCATCTGTGCTGTCAGACAACATGTGTTCGTTCTCATATGGCAGGAGTCTGAAATGAACCGGCAGAAGCGTGTAATTAGGTGACAGCTGATGCCAATAAGTAGCTTTCATGATAATGTGATCAACAGAAATACAACAATTTTGGTTCTTAGACAGGATGAGGAAAACTACCATCTATAAAAAAAAAAAGAAAAAAACTTTATGAAGTAGTTGTACTTTTCTTTTTGAATCATTTAGTGATATTCTTTTGAGGATATTACTACCTCTACTTTAGTAAAATTTGTGGTTACTCTACCCACCACCTGTATCTTGAAATAACTTGAGATTAGGTTCAAGTATACAGTAAACAGTAGATATTGGGTGTTTTTACCATTTCCTACCCTACTTTTACCAACAGTAAAGAGTGGTTATATAAGTTTATGTTAATAAAATGGATTTTGCAAAAACAAAATCTGCCAAAATGTATTATTTTTCAACCATGTTATTTATTTTTTGTATTTTTAAATTTTTGTCATTTATTTTGAAATACCAGAATTTGCAGATAAGTTTGTCGGTTTACATGAATTTCATTTGATGTCATACCAAATATAGTACTTCATAGTACTACTAAAGTCAGCCTAGTAGTACAGCTTACAAAAGCTTTTCTGCTAAATGAATAAAAAACATAAAATGTAAATACTGACTCTTAGAAAAACTAGGACTCTGAAACATACCGGTATACTGATTTTTTTCTTTGTTTAAACTTTTTGCAAACTGCTGTGGCGGCAGAACGTAGGCCTACAGCTCAATATATGTTTTTTTTTATATTATTCCTAAAAGTCTTCAAAGAGTTAGAGAAAGTAAGTCTTATTCTGAGCATAAAAAGCTTATATTTTTCTTAAAATTAAGTTGGTCCAAGAGAAGTACTGTATTTTTTGTACTATAAGCATCAACGCTTCATCCAGCCTATATAAAGAAGCGCCCTTTCTGTGGATATTTCCTAACCGTCAGTGGGCGGAAGTCAACATTGGAAATCAAAGAATAAGAGAATAAGTTGCTAATTTTCATTTAGCACAAGCACACGCCAGCAGCAGACACAACTGAGAACAAATGTCCTTAATTCAGACATTTTGACATTGATTTCGGCATTAAAGCTGTCGAGCCAATGAAGAGACCGGGCTTCACTCCTACAGAGCTACTATATGTAGAGCTCCCCCCTTCTGGAGCGGGGGATGTTGGATTTCGGGGGAACAGGAGAAGCGGCGTTTAGTGAAGTTTAGACACTGTCGTCAGACAACATGTGTTAATTTATAAATGTTTTAAATCAGGTTGGGTCCGGATTATCCAGCAGGTGGGTCCAGATCCAAACTGTGGTCCGCTAATCCGTGACCTCTGCCCTACAGGTTTGGTTTAATGGATTTTAGTGGCTTATAGCCTGCTGCGGCTTTTACATATACGTTTCTCAGTTTTTGAAAAAAAAAAAAAACTAATTGGGGCGTGGTTTACAGTGAGCTGCTCTATATAGTTTGGGAAATCCAGTATTGTTTCTCGAAAGCCCTTTTTCACCAAACAAAGGCTCGTAAAATTTTGTAAAGAATTTATCAAACTGAACAATTTTTTTCATGTGTCTCATCAAAGGGTTAACATATACGGTACCTACAAACAACAGATTGCAATGGTCTGTCTGAATGAAAACCTACCTTGGTCTTGGTCATGTCTAGCAGACCGACAGAGTAGCGGTCACAGTTTAGGAAAGCTCTCACTGTATACAAGGCCTTGTGGAACTGTCTCTCAATGTCTGTCAGCTCCTCAAACACCTTGCTGGCCGACCAAAGCAGCACCTGCAGAGGGAAATAAAAACAGCTCCTATTTTACATGCCTCTGCTTTATTATCTCTATCTGAATTTATAAATGTGGAAATATCTAAACAGTAGTTCTTTGGTTGATTTAGTCAGTTTATATTTTGTCAGACTTTTCTTGTCTTCTTTAGGTGACTTGTCCTTACCTGACCCTTTCTGGTCTCGCAGCTGTGCAGGTAGCTCAGGTGGAAAACTCTCAGGATCAGGTTGGCAAAGTTAAGATATCTGTTCAACACCTGAAACGATCAGAAAAATTATTATCAGTGTCAGTTCATCAACTTTACTGCTAATCTTTACAGTTCCAAAAGCAGAAATGGAAAAAGTTCTTTATAAAAACATGTTTCTATTTCTCCTTTGATTGGTGATTTAAATGTGTAGTAAATAAGTTTTACACACTACCTCCTCATCCTTGGCAGTGAAGCACGGTCCGTCCAACTTATTGACCGCCATCATAACAGCCACCATGTCTTTGCCGTTCATGATGGGGATGGCGAGGATGTTTTTGGTTTGATACTCGGTCAGCTCATCAACAAAGTTACTGAAATGTGAACTCTGAGGGGAAATAACAGACAACATTTGACTTCTTCTAAACTTTAACAGGAACAATTTAGGTGTCATTAGGTATCATTCATTTTTGGGATCGTACTTTTTTGTTTTAGAAATATTCCTGGTTTTATTTTTATTTTTTATTAGTTGTTTATACATTATTTGTTTCAGACAGATAATCCCAAAAAAGGAAAGGTTCTTATCCCTTGTTTTAAAAGTTTGCTTTTTTTTCTGCAGTAGGATTTACTGTTGGAGGACATAGGGACCCCTCTTTCATCATTCTGCTTCATTTTATCTCTATTCTCTCACTCTGCAGAATCTGTAAGTTCAATCTCTAAGTTTATGCTCTCTCAGTTATTTTCTTATAGTAGCTTGATCTGTTCTGTTTCTATTTTTCTGTGACACCATCCTGGAGAGAAATATCGGCTGTACTGCTGCCATCAACACTTTTGTTTATAGATGTTGGAGATCGGCCTGTTTTTCAGTGAAGTCCTGTTTCTCTGACTGTGACTGGCTGGATGTGCTCTCTTCATCCTCTGACATGGGAGCTGGCTCAGAGCTTGTCTGCCTGGCTGTGTGTTTCCTGGACAGGGTGCCTGTGGAGCTGGTTGCCTTTTGTATCTCTGCTTCTAACTATATGACTGCTTCTGTCTCCTTGAACCCCAGTCAGCTTCGGGAAATGGCTACTCACACTGAGCCTGGTTTTGCTGGAAGGTGTCTTTCTTTTAAAAAGGGAGTTTTTCTCTCCACTGTCACTATAAAGCATGCTTAGTGTGAGAGATTGCAATCGAGTGAATGAGTCGATGCAATCAACTGGTTTTCCTAGGATAGAAAACTTTGAATCAATCTGACTGAAAGATCTGGTTGAATTGTCTCAGTAAAGTGTCTTGAGATTACATGTATTGTGAATTGGTGATATATAAATAAACTGAATTGAATAGATTTTTTCAGATGGGATAAACAGAAATCCAACCTTTAAAATAAACAAGAACTGTTCCGCATCTTATATATAGATGTCAGTTGTTTGTTTAGAAAGCATGCCAGTAAAAAAACATTTTTTTTTTGTCCTACAAGCACCAATGTAAACAAAATATGAAATTACATGACATGCTTAAAGCGGGTGTCAGGGGGGCGGATTACCTTTGTTCAATGAAGTAGATGCACTTTTTGATATTAAATGTCTCAACAAACTGATGATATTTGAAAAGTCTACTTTTTAATTTTATTTTTATTTGACAAACTGGAATTCATTTCAATTCAATTTCACAGTTTATTTCTATGGCAACAATGCAAAACACACGACATCTCAAAGCCCTCTGTGACAATTCAGTCAGTTTAAAGAGCAAAATCAGACCCCAATTCAATTGATCACTGCATCATGTGATGTAATGAACTGCTAGGGTTGAAAATAACCCAAGATAGAAATTTGTTGTACAAACCAGAAAATCCCACAAGAGGGCGTTTTCCTCAAAGCGTGATATTTGTCCTTCTGCATTTGCATCATTTGTGGAAGGATGCTAAGATTAGCTTGCCTTGTTATCATCTGATAATGACAGCAGTTTTACCTCCAATGAGCCTATAGGAACTATAGTAGGAGTGCATGATAAGCTGAGATATATCAAACTAGAGTATTAGATAAATAAAAGCCCCTGTCAGAATAAGGATTTAAAACATAGGGCCAAAATCAAAACAGAAATGGGTCACCACAAACCAAACCAAACTTAACCAAGAAGACATGAAAATGTCCTCTTGTTAACAGACTTTAGGTGGGAACCAAGAGGACATAAAAATGTCCTCTTGGTGCCCACCTAAAATCTGTTAACGATCTGCAGGGAAAAGTTCAATAGGACTGAAAACGATTCCTTATGATCTTCAGAAAGGACGATCAAAGGTCTTACTTTGGGCTCATGGGTTTTTCATACTATAAGAGTGGTATTATCAATATCTGTATAAAAAGCTAATTCATACTTTTGTTTTAGTGTGAAATTTTGCTCCAGCAGCAAAAGATTAATTAATTTTAATGCTTTTTCCACATCTTTACCAGGGGTGTTCATAAAAGTGGAGGTTTTGATTTGATTTCCATTTATTTAAAATTGTCCGTTGAGGCAGTAAAGGGCTAACCTGACAACAGCCAGATGCATGTCTCGCTCCGCCCAGCGAGCGAGACATGCATCTGGCTGTTGTCAGGTTAGTAAAGGGCAGCATTGCACATTCAAAAGGGGGGTATTACATTTTTTTGTACTTTATTATGTTTTGCCATTTTCAAATAAAACCTGCAACCCTGTAAGGGTTACAGTTTTTATGTAAGGACTCAAATACAGAGTATAACTTGATATAGAGCTTATAAATAGAGCTTTGGCAGGAAGCTCCTTTTTATTTTTGGGATTCTTTATCTTAATATACTTTCCATGCAATAGGCTGAAAATGTAAGCTTTTTAAGCTACTAAGCACAGTGATGAACTGACTGAAATGATTTTAGCCCTAAACAAAGCAGTATGGAAATGTGCTGCGATTCCATTGAAGCTGTTTTCTCTGCAGAGTGGCCAGAGCAGTGATGCTACTTTTGAAAACAAAGAGACAAAGTCTTGGCTCATCTTGAATCAGCACCGTGAACCAAAGGTAAAAACCCGAAGCATTCTGACATGGTTGCTTTTCATCTTTGCTCTGAAGATTCATAGTGAAACAGTTTCTGAATGACATTACATTTTGGTAAAAATTTATAAATGAGCGACGTCCTTTAAAGCTTCCCCAAGGGAAAAGAAGGAACCTTTTTATTTATTTATTTATTTTGTTTTAAAGATCCAATTGGATCTCGTGCATCTTGGGGACTTGTTCATGAATGAGGGAAAGATGGAGCGGGAGATCGACAAGCGGATTGGTGCGCCGTCTGCTGTGAAACGTGCACTATACCGGTGTGTTGTGGTGAAGAGAGAGCTGAGCCAAATAGCAAAGCTCTCAATTTACCGGTCGATCTACTCTCACCTATGGTCATGAGCTTTTGGGTCATGACTGAAAGAACGAGATCCTGGAGACAAGCGGCTGAAATGAGTTTTCTCTGGGCTCTCCCGTGGAGATAGGGTGAGGAGCTCAGTCATCCGGGGAGGACTCAGAGTAGAGCCGCTGCTCCTCCACATCGAGAGGAGCCAGTTGAGGTGGCTCGGGCATCTGATTAGGATGCCTCCTTGAGGTGTTCCAGGCACGTCCCACCTGGAGGAGGGACTATGAGCGCCTTGGGATTCCCCCGGAGGAGCTGGCCCAAGTGGCTGGTGAGAGGGACGTCCAGGCCTCCCTACTGAAGCTGCTACCCCCGCGACCCGACCCTGGATGGATGGATGGATGGATGGNGGATGGATGGATGGATGGATGGATGGATGGATGGATGGATGGATGGATGGATGGATGGATGGATGGATGGATGGATGGATGGATGGATCTCATGCACACAACAAACAGAAACTATACAGCAAAAAGCACAAACATGACAGGAAATCACTCGAAGCATGCAGTTATGCAAGCTGGGCATTTGTTAAGTCGGTCAAAAAGTAACACTGCCCCTCACATGGAGGGGGAAACAATGTCTTTTAATTTATGTCTGCAGTTTCTGAGAAACTCAGAAGGATTTTTTCTAAACATTACCTACCCGTAGGGCTGCAAATAACGATGATTTTGCAAATCGATTAATATGTCGATTTTTTAATCATTTGATAATCAGAAAGTCAAAGAAGGTTTTTTACTAAATTAAACAAGGTGAAACAAAAACTTTTCCACTTCTGGACAGAGGACATTGACAGACGAAAAGGATTTCTTTCATCTTAAATGCAAAATGTTTAGATATTTTTTTACAGTTTTGGTATAATTATCGCTCTGAGTGCGTCGCTCTGTCAGCTTAAGGTATGTTTTAGAGTCTATATAATCAAGTTAACGATTAATTGATTACTAAATTAGTAGACATTAATTTTAATAATCGATTAATCTGATTAATTGTTTCAGGCCTACTTTCAGTTCAATTTAATTTAGTTTATTTCTACAGCGCCAATTCAGAAAACATGTCATCTCAAAGTACTTTATAGAGACAATTCAACCAGATCATACTGTAAAATTGATTCAAATTTTTATATCTAAAGAAAACCATATGATTGCATCAACTCATTGACTCGAAGGCAAACCCTTACCAGTGAATTTTGAACCCCAAAACTGGTTCATTCCAGATACAAAACACCTAATAAAAGCATTGGCATTGTTTATGAAGTCCTACATCGGAGAAACCACACAACTACAACACAAACGCAGAACAAAGGCCACATTTGGGACAGAGAGGATAGATGGTTTGACAGAGGGGTAAAGAAAGCCATCTTTGTTAAAGAAGGAAAGTCATCACTGAACAGAAGAGGAGGATTGGAGCTCATTATGAAGTGGTTAAACCAGCTCACCGACCATGAATCAAATGGCCAAACACAAAACTCATCAAAGACAGAAAAAACCAACAAAGTCAGGAAAACAACAGGTGGTTATTTGATTTGCATCCGACTCCTGAATAGGTTCTCAAACACATTCAGAAAAACTGAGCGACAATTCAGTTGCATTTAAGCCTGTTTTGTGGTTGCCATGACTGATGACTGAAATGTTGCATAAAACATATAAAAATGTTAGTCAAAATTCCCTAACTTGTACTTTATCTTTTAAATTATTTAAAATACCATAAAGTTAATTTCTTTCTACACCAGGAGACAATGATGAGAACAAGACTAAGCGTGGCAGAAAAGATTTAAGGTGTGTTATTGTGCTGAGTCGGGGAAAGTGGCTCAGCGCCTGTGTGACCTACAGGAATAATCTGGGCTCACTCTAATTTAGGACACGTTAAGTTACTCCATGTTCATACCCTCCATTTTTTTTTCCTCATTTAAGCCATAAACATGGTGTATCCACTCATTGAATTATGAATAAAATCCACCCTGCAAATGAGGGGATTTTTAAATTCAGTTGTAGAAGGGAAAGACAAACGTTGAAGGGAAATTGAGGCCAGCGCTTAGTCACTCACTGCATAATCCCCACCTACGGTGCAGCACAATCCTCTGCTAGATTGGATTGGGATGGAAATAGCATGTGCAGAGACAGTGACTTCCAGTCTGTTGCTAAAAAGTCATCCTCCATGCATTAGCAACGTAAAGCCAATCAATTAATAGAAACATTAGCTGCTACTTTACAGCCAATGGGGGAAAATGGAGGCTTGCAGCTTTTGATAGTGATGGTTTCCTTTTATGTGTTGTGGTGAGGCTGTGACTTCATGGTCTGAGGATTTGAGCAGAAGGAGATCTGTTCTGTCGTGGCTCAAAAGAAACTGGCAGGTCTGGCAGAGAGTGGAGGATCAAAAAAGAAATAAATAAAGCAACAACTGTCCCTGCTCTGTTTTCTTCACACATTAATAGTTCAGCTCCCTAATCTCACATAAAAGGATGTAATTCAACTGATATAGAGAAGTACTTATGATGCATCTGTAAAGTCTGCTTCACTATTACCAGTAAATGTCACAAAAACACTTTGGGCAGGTGTGGGCGGAGGGGGGTATGTAGATCTGTGAGAGCATGATGGGTACAAAAAGAAATAATGAGTTTGTTGGCTGTTTTGAAATGTCAAAGCCTGTAATGAGCTTGAGCTTCCACAATGGAATTAGATGCAGTGGTGTGGTATTTTGGCGCCCTCTGGTGGTCAATAAGAGAGTAACACAGAACTCTTAAATTCACATAATTAATAATAATAATTGAAGTTTATTGATCTCAAATTGGAGAAATTTGCCTCTGCATTTAAAACACCCCCCTGGCTGCCATTGTGCAGCACCCAAGGAGCAGTGTGGGGTTAAAGATCTTACTCAAGGACCCAGAGTGGAGGCTGTGGGGATCGAACCAGGTACTTGCAACCTTTTCAGAGCAAAAGCGCACTGCTATAACCACTAGACCAGCACTCCCGTAATGGATTTAAAGGTGGCCTACCTGCGATACATCAGGAACATTGACCATCTTCTTGCTTGTGGCAACATGGCCCACGATGCCCATGTCCAGCGGATACACAATCTCACTGTCAGGCTGCACCAGGCATTCCTCGTATATTGCATCTTTATGAACGTTGAATAATCTATAAAAGCAAAGTGAGAACAGACATGTTTTTGGATGATTGTTGATGATTATCCTATAAAAGTTAACTTGCATGGGCTTAAGAAAAATGAAAAAAATTATCAGAAAATGATTGAACTCACTATAGTTGAAGCAATGCAATTATTTAAAGCCTCTGCATTAGCATTAGTGCATGGGAATTAAGAGTTCAAATGTATGACTTTATATCCAGACAAATCAGCTAGAGCTGTAGGAGTTTACAACTTTAAAGGGAAGTTTTTTTGTTTTAATAAAACTTGTTAATAAAAGTCTGAGAGACCTTGTGGCGAGCTCAGCCACGCCGTTCCTCTGCCGGTACATGAAGAGGCTCATGCGGTCGGCCCTCATCATGAAGCTGAGGTGTTTCATGAGCTTGAAGACGGAGCGCTCAGTCTGCAAGTTGTCCTGTATGTCCCGTACCAGGTCGAAAAGAATCTCACTCTCATCCACCATGGTCAGCTCATGGAAGGTCCGGACGTCCAACACAGGCTGGCGGTTGCTGTCCAGCAGGTCTGAGATGATTTTGGGCTTCAGGTTTATGTCATAGTACTGCTTTGCAAATGCTGGGTTGGCGTCCAGGAACTGCTCTGCTGCAGCTGCATCCACCATGGCTGCTGCTGCAAAAATAATGTTGTAAAACACATTATATAGTATGTATTAGTACGTACTCCTGTAGTGTACTAGTATGTACTCCTGTATGAAGATGCATTTAAAGCTGAAAAAAGTAGATTTGCCTTTTTATAACAGGAGCATTATCTCAAATTGAATTTTCAGGACAGAATCCGACAAACGTGTGAATATTCAGAGGAGTTAAATCACCAAACAATCCAACTCAAATGAAATCATATCACATTTTAAGGAAGAATACTGAATTGATCCAAACGTCCAAACTCCTTTTTGCCTGGGGTGTAGAAATGTGCCTGAGAGGCCAGTTTATTGTAGTCACTCTTCAAAGCAGAAGACAAACACATAGTAATCATAGAAGAACTGTTTTTATTTTCCCAAGTTGTTTAACAAGAACATAGCTGTTCAAATTAAGCCAGTATCTTTAGTCATAAATTTTAAGTTTATCTCCCAGCGCCTGTGGTGGGACGATGATGGTGAAAGCCTACAGTAAAAGAGCTGTAACAAAGAGTGGCCTTACAGGGTCATCAAATAAATGGCGGATCAGAGGACATACCCCAAAAAAATAACCTCTCCTACCATTATAAATAAATGCATGTAATCTGCAAAATATACAGGAATTTGACTTAAAGACTGTACTTGGCTAAGATATCACTTAGATGGAGAATTATAAAAGGGGTCTAAAACCATATCATGCCCATTTTTCCAGTGGTAGAAGAGCTGTGATGGTATGGGACTATTTTTTTTCCTTAGGTCCTGGAAACTCTTAAAAATTCAGCACAATTCAAATAAAATCTGGATTAATTCGCCCAAAATCCTAAAATATGCCGTCTCTACTGGTACTAATCCAGAAAATGTGGTCAAACCAACATAAAAAAGGGTTTAAAAACATCATCCTCTCTGTGTGAAAGGCATAAGAAGAGATATGAGGCTGTTTTTTCAATATACTAGGTTGATCAAGAAAAAAAAATAGAATTCAAGGGTGAGTTTGCAACAACTATTAAAACCGTTTTTTTTTTTTTCCTTTTAATTATTTGTTATGAGGGAGGCGATAGTGACACCTGAAATCATGTGAATATGACAGTCAAACATAATCAAATCATATTTACACCTTTTCGAATCCAGTTAGAGCTAACATAACATACTATGCAATAAAAACAACAAAGGTAAATAAAGTAAATAAATAATAAAGTAAATAAATAGATACCATCACTTCAAAGCAGTGATATCTTCTATTTAAGGAAATAGTTCCCCATCAAAAAGTTTAAAATCTACTCAAACTGGAGCTGTAACATCACATAATCAACTTTCTTGAGATTAATAATAAAATGTTATAGTTATACCAATTTTAAAACATTGTGAACCATTAGGTTGATCTCAAGGGAAAGAAAGAGAATGTGAATTTGAAGTGAATATTGGTACCTGTTAATTCCTTGTATGATCCCCCAGCAAAGTGTGTAATCCCTCTGTCCTCCTTAACGGCCAAGGTGCAGTTGTCTGAGAAGAGAAAGGGGATTACAAGGATGGTTTTAAATGGTCATGTGTTGACATAATCCTGCATCCAATTACAAACATGTGGATTACAAAACCAGCCAATGTTTAATGAAACTATAAGGGATTTTACTGTCTGTCTCCAAACAATTAGCCCTAAAGGATCTTAATATAAACACCTGGCTTTGAAAAAATGCTGTGTATATGAAATGTCTGGAAAAATAAAACCTTAAACCATCAGTTAACTTTGTATTTTGTTCTTTACTGTGAGACACTCACACAGACTATTTGATTTATTGACTAAAGCTAAGAAAAGCCAATAATTCCTCTAACAACTCCCTTTTCAGAGGCATAGGCCAGTGTCGGGTATTGCAGGCCAACAACCACCTGGACCACTCCCCATTACTGGAGATGCTTTTTGGTTCAATTTGCATGTTTTCTAAGCCATAACAAGGCTTTAATGGGCTACTCTATAAGCCTTGAACTCGACGCTAATCCAGACATCTTGAATTGAAAAGCTTTCCTGGATGGGAAGCGAAACATCTTTAAACTGGAAAACAAAGCCCAGTGGTTTGGTTTTTGACCTTTTTTTGGAAGGACTATGACCTGGATGACTGAGAATCTTCACCAGCACATTCCCTGCTCAATATTTGTGGTAGAGAGATATATATGCTTTTCTGGAAAAACAAAACATTTTTCAAGAGCGGTTCTCTGTTCCAGTTTTAAAATGTTCTAAATAGATTTAAGCAACACATCAAGTTTTCTTGTTCTGCTTCTACATTAATGTGTAATTTTTTCAGGTTAACAAAAACACAAATAAATTTAGTAATTAACTTACTGTCTGTTTATGTGCAGGACTTATGTGCAACTAGAAAGTTGATTATTATAGTTGTCATTATCGTTAATAGCTAAGAAAGGCCGCGTCAGTCATGGAATATAAAGATGTACAGAACAAGTAAATGTGGTGTCACAGAAACAAAAGTGGTCACACAAATATGGACCTTAAAAAAGTGTATCAAAAGAATATGTGACTGAGTTAAAACATAAAATAGACAAATAAAACGCTGTACTGTACAATGTTTTTATGATATAAAGACTGTGCATCTGGAGAATAATGAGTATAAATAAATAATCAATATAATAAT